GCCATTTTGACTGCCTTTTTAAAACATTTTATTAGGCAAGCTCAAATAAATAAAATGAAGTAGAAAAATGCCATTATAGAAAGTATGGGACRTTTCTCGCCAAAAAAGAAAGGCAGTTGTGGCCAATAGTTACTCAGACTTCACCAAAAAAGGTAAGAAATTGTTATACTTACAGCACTACAAGAAGGATATGATAAATTTAATAATAGAAGCTTTCAAGCTTAGATAGATTTAAAAATACATCACAGCCCTGAGGCTGAATTGCATATTAAAGAGTAGCCGGGAATTTAAAGTTATTATGCATTTACGAAGTGAAATCATATCTATCTAGTAACTTATATTTATTATAAACTCTGTGTATCAAAATACATTAAAAACCTTAGAAATAAGCTTAAGCAGTGTTTGATGCATCATGGTTTCTTTGAACAATCTTAAGTATATTACCAGTTTTTCCTATTGTTTATTTCTATTTTTCTTTTTTACATTTTCATAAATTTAACTCAGAATCTTCCTGACCTTTCATTATAGATATTTATGGTGAATTCAATTGTGTAGATCAGTCCTCGACCTGTTATACAATTTAATTAACTCAGTTGTCTGGAAACATAATAATTAACCCAAACACAATAAAAAATGGCATAAATAAGGAGTCTTGAATTTTATTTTTTTAATTATTATCAGCAAAAACAAAACTTGAATTAATGGACACTGAAGAAATAAAGGTCTTCACAGAAGATGGAACAGAAATAGACGAAGAGACATTTATTGAGATGGAGCCAGGTAGCACTTTTATTTGTGCAGCTGGCAACCAAACCTGGTCATCCCAAGAAGCACAAACAAGTACAGAGTCAGTAACATCATCAGCTAGTGGAACCATGATTTTGCCTTCATCAAAAAATCTTGGTATGAACAATCACTTGCAATATTTTTTATACTAAGGTTTTTTTTTGTATTATAATTATAGAAATACTGTATTCTTGCTTGTTTTCTGCACAGATAAGACAGCCCTAAATGGCTTGATGTTTAATATAACTAGTGACACTGATACACATTGTATTTCTGTTATTTTGTTTTTCCATTTTGGTTCACACACTCTCATGTATTTCATTGTTTAGAGAATTTCATTGCAAATTGACCTTCAATTCATTGCAGGTTCAGTCCAGAGAACCATCATTCAAACGTCCGATGGGAGTCTAAAAGCTGGGGCTGTTGCTGTTGAAGTGAGTCATTTATTTGTTTAATCTCATAGGCAAAGCTAGATCAATATTACATACATATATAATGCTATTATTTTGTTTTTTGTTTTAGAAACCCCAGGAACTTGAATCTGACAATATCTTGGAAGAGAAGTCCAAGATATACTCTAAACAAGAATTAACAAAATACCAAAAGGCAATCAACGATGCAGCATTCCAACTGTCAAAAATGAATTCTTCCTTGCTCCTTAATAGGGGTAAGCTATTTGAAGAATCACGCAAAAAAGTTAAAGATGATGGCTATCTTTTTGCAAAGGGAAAATCTAGAGCAAATGATGGTTCAAGAGATGAGTCAAGTGTGCGATCTAAAATTAATAGTGATGATCGTTTGAAATACATTGATCTACTTCAAAAAGATATCTTTGGAAAGGAAGAACAAATCCGCTACAAAACCCATCGAGTTGAAAAAGCAAAGAATATGAAAAATTGGGAGCTGTGTGATACGTTGACTGCAGAGATAGCCAAACTACGAAAAGAGACATTTGAACACAAACAGGAGATGAAATTATTACAACGGAAAGAATCGCAAGCTGCTTGGTACAAAAAGAAATCGAAGCAAAAGAGCACACAAAAGAAAAACGAGAAAGTGATCAGGACAAAAGACAGCAAGAGTACAAGTGCAACTTCCCCAAACTGTTCAATTATCTTCAAACCAAGCAACCCCATACTCAATCTGTTTCAACCACTGTCATAACACAAAAAGATGAGACAACGACAAACCTTCATTCTGAGTGTGTTCTTGTAGAGGAAGTTACCTTGGTGATCAGAGATCAAATAGTTTAGAAGAAAATCCTCAAGATGATTTGATTTTTAGTGAATCAGATGAAGAGAGTGTAGTTGAAAATCAATCATTGTCAGGTGTAGCTGACATCCATCAACCAGCTGTACAAGAAATATTGCAAAAAAGAGTTAAATCTATTCGTCTGAAGGCCAAACGAGAAGCTGCTAAGAAAATCTAACATAAACCTTTTGAAATGACAATATGACTGAAATTCAACTTGGTCGCCCCTACAACCATACCGTACAATAAACTGTTTGAAATGTTATTATCACCGAAATGACATGAACATTGGTTGTCCCTACAACCGTACAATAAACTGTTTGAAATGTTATTATAAACTATTCAAGGTACCAAGTCGGTTTAGGAAGAAAAAATCTAAAGAGGAAGAACACTCTTGTGTAAGCTCGAGCGTACACAGTATGCGACGAATTGGGCTGCCACTCTTTTTTGATTAAATAATTTGGTTAAATTATTACAAGTTGAAAAAAAATGGAGAATTGTACCCGCCAAAGACATTACACAGCATCGTATGTGACATCAGTAGATATTTTGAAGATAAAACCGGCTATAATCATAATGATAAGACCGATAAAAGGTAAGTTTTGACTATTGCTTAAAAGAAGTGAAAAGTCGATATATGAGGATATATTAGGCCTTACAAGCTGTTTTACTTTTACTAGATTTTCTCTGCTAAAAAAGTAATGGATCCCGAAATGAAGGAGTCAACAAAACAAGGATGTGGTGTAAAGAATACCAAGCCACTAAGGCAGCCAGTCACCGAAGAAGAGGAGATACTGTGGGCAAAAGGACTGTTGGGTGGTAATTCTGCTACAACTTTACTTCACACTACTATATATTTTTATAACAGCAAGTTGTTCGGCTTAATGGTATAGACCATCATAATTTACAACTAGCTAATTTCAGAGATGATGATAATATAATTACTTTCGATGAAAGCTTCAGTAAAACATTCCATGGCGGTCTTCAATATTTGAAAAACACACCTAGAATGTCAACTCATTTTTGCCATGAGAAAGGACAAGAGCATCCCAGATGCCTAGTCCAATTATATAAGTTGTATATTGAACAAGTCAAAACGCATGCTTTAGCCCATGAGGCATTTTACTTTCAACCAAGTTATAAATAGCAATTGATACTGGTTTGTTCTAATTTATCGTGAAAGAACTGTACCTTGCCTGCTTATWCACTAATATTTCATGATAGAAACATGCATAGTTACACATTCAACAAAACGGTATGGAAATATTGTTGTAAATCATTTCAGTCGTGAAATTGCTTATGTTTCTGCCTTATTCGTACGAGSAGTCATCTGTCAGCATTCAAGACAACGCTATTTTGTGTACATGCAAAACAGACTACCTACTTAAAACAGTGTCAAGATAGTTCAAGTACATCAGAAAATAAAAATTACCACTGATCAAGAATCCGTCCCAAAGAAAGCTATGTACTTCCAATCTTATCTTATCGACCAAACTATTGTATTTTTCCACAAGTTTTTTGATATGCTGCCTAAACTTAACACACATAGTCTTTGAGGTGAGTAGGTGTGGTTTCGAGTCGAGTACTTCTTCAGAAGCCTGGAAGCTCTGTCTTCTTTGGTTCCAATGAAGGTTCTGGAACTGTGATATCAGGTTCCTTAAGTTCCTCTGGAATCTGCTTTGGTACAGTTGTTTGCACTGGTACTTGCGCCAATTCTGTTGAACTCTGAAGATCATCGGCAACTGTGGGGTGGGTGTGCTTGCCCTCAGGCGAAGATGGTCAACATGTCGTTGAAACACTCCACCTGAACTGAGTTGAACGACATACGGAACTGGTCCTGACTGTTGGATTATTGTTCCACATAACCACTTCAGACCAAATGAGAAATTCTTGACAAATACTGGGTCACTCACTTGAAATTCTCTGAGTGGCACTAGATTGTCGTGTTGTTTCTTCTGTGCGAGTTGTTTGTGTTCTACACAAGTGTGAATTGTATCCTGACTGAGGGGGTTCACCAGGTCCAAGCGAGTCTTCAGCTTCTGGTTCATTAATAGCTCACCAGGTGTTTTACCAGTGGTTGCATGAGGTGTGGTACGATAGCTTAGTAGAAATCTGCTTAACTTTGTGTCTAAGGTTTCCTTTTCCACTCCCATCTTCTTCATTGTTTCCTTGAAGGTGCGAACATATCTTTCAGAAAATCCATTGGATGCTGGGTGTTTAATTGCTGAAGTGATGTGTTTTATGCCATTGTCTGACATAAAAAGGTCAAATTCTTCACCTGTGAGCGCAGTTGCATTATCAAATACTATGATACCAGGCAGTCCTACACGTACTGAGAAGCAACTTCTAGATGGTTGCTGCAGAAGTACTGGAGTTTGTCTTGAATACCTCGATCCACTTACTGTAGGCATCACTGATCACCAGGAACATGTGTCCTTCGAAAGGTCCTGCATAGTCAACATGTATGCGAGTCCAAGGTCTAGACGGCCACTCCCACAGATGTGGGGAAGGAGTCTTGGCATTACTTTGGCAGATCTTTCACCTTTTGCTCAATATCAGGGTCGAGACCAGGCTACCAGAAATAGCTTCGGACTAACATTTTCATGCCAACCATTCCGGGATGTCCATCATGTAGTTCMTGGAGAAGCTTGACTCTTCCTTGAGGAGGAATGACCATGCGAGAGCCCCAGAGTAGACAGCCATCGTGACAGCATTCATTCGATAATTCATAAGCAATATTCATTCGATAATGAAAGAAAATCCCATTCGATAATCCAAGCGAATTTCATTCTATAATTCAAGCAAATTCCATTTGATAATGCAAGCAAATTCCATCAGATAATGCAAGCAAATTTCATTCGATAATGCAAGCAACATTCATTCAATAATRCAAGCAATATTCATTTGATAATGCACGTGATCTTCCATATTGGGATAGAAGGCTTGGCTACTGAGTGTACAAAATGGCGGAACAAATTGAATGGAAGCCTTTGGCGCTTAGCCTGCTCAATGTACTAGATAAATGTCTGAAGAAGGAACGTATCCTATTGCAGCCAATGTATTCATGGTGTTCCGGAGGGTCTTTCAGTTATTCTTTTCATGACCGATACTATTAACTATGAATGACAGTCTTTGTTTCTTGAGCTTCGCGAATGCTTTTGCGAGATTCACCGATACTGGTGGCAACAACTTACTGTGCTGTAGACAAGCCGTTGTGTAGCAGTAGCAGACGCGGAAGACCAGCCTTCGATATTCTGCCAGCTGTTCTTGAGRAATCCAGAGGACTTGGCTTCACGTGGACTCAAATTGCAAAAATGTTAAACGTTTCGTGCTCTACTATTCACAGACATGTAAAAGATCATAGTCTTGAAGGTCTTAGTAAGTTTTCAGACATAACTGATGCAGAAATTGACTGTGATATAGAAGACTACATTTCCCGGCATGGGCCCACCACAGGTACAGTGTAATAATTTATGACAAGAACATCAACAGCAACAGCAACAACAACAACATTTGAATGATGTATTTATGTTTTTTTTAATATATAATACCTAGTCATACTACTCACCGCAGCACTCTCTCATTCACAATACATGCACTTTTATTATATGTGAGGTCAGTCCTACCTAGTTGCACACCTAAGATCCCTGGGKCTACGAGTTCAACGTGACAGAGTAAGGTCAAGTTTAACAAGAGTTGATCCTGACAACACTGCATTGCGTAGGGCAGGTGTAATATCAAGGCCTTTTTTTAAAGGTCAAATGCAACGGAAAATTCGATGATTTTTTAACACTTGGAAAAAGAAGTTCTTGCTATGTTCAATACATACGCGAAGCGAGAAAACTGGAAGATTTTTATTTTTCGAGATATCAGGGATTGAAAAGTGTTGTATTTCCGTTGACCGGTCGTTCATTTTCGGTAATTAATCGGAAGTTAGTCGGAGACGCCTCCAATGACGTCACAGATGGTGCCGGTTTTTCGACGGTACACTTCCCGCCACCAGAACACAGGCCGTGTTCGACAAGAATTTTAATGCTATAAAACGAAGAAAAACTCGACATTCTTATTGTGGGGAAAGCAGATGCCCATACTTCAACTGTCGAATCATCTACTGTCGAAAAAACAACTAACAAAAATGGTAAGATTGTAGATTTTGATAGCCAATTTTGTTTGAGTGATCAACACTGAAGATAAGTTAATACCGCCGGCTTTGTAGAGAAACCTTTGAAAACAATTTCGAAAACAATTCGAAATACACGTAAGAATTTACTCAAAGATAGTATTTCCTTTTTCTCTTGTAACTAGAATCTTGAAATCCATAAAGCAAAGCATAGTTGAACACCTAAGAGCCGTGGCTTGTAATATTGAAAATGACAATATTGAAACTGACAATGAAAGGCCACATCGACATTCAAAAATATATGACGACGTCGAGATTATGACAATTATGACGACAAAGACTGGTTATAGTAGTGCTATATTATATAAGAACCACGTTAAGTGTTTAGTCTATTACAAACAAAAACAATGGACAATATTTATATCCTTAGGTCTAACTATGGTTTAGATGAAGAAGAATTGCTAAAAAAGGATAAGACCTCACATGGAAACACTGAATCATGTCTATTCGGAGAAAAGTTTATTGTATTCCAGAGCTGCTTATTAGAAATTTTCAAAAGTTGCCATGTATGCCAGAAAGAAGCTTAGCCATCTATCACTGAAAGGAGAGTGGTACTATGATCACATTGGAGGTCATATGACTGTATGTATCAATGGACATCACATAATTTGGAATACTAACCATGCCATGGCCTTATGTCTTGGGGGAATATGCTTTTAACAGCATCAAAACTGCTCACTGGAAGTAATCCAGCAATGGTTATCATTTTTTTCAAGCACATTGGGGTTTAGGACATACTATTACATACAAAGGTTGTACCTTATTCCAGCTAT